AGCTGTAGGACTTCTATAAAAAAGCACGCATAAAATTTGTTTTGTAATTAGTGAAAAAAGCTATATATATATTTTTTTTTTAATTATTACTTTGTGAATTCAATAAAATTAAATATTTGCGCACATAAGCTGCACAAAATCACCGGTTTCAGTATCGCACCGTGAATCGCGCAGCCTTTCCAGTTCAAATCGATGGGGGGGCTTTGCGCGCCGCCTCGTAGCCGCAACGCCAACTAGAGCTCCAGTAGCTCTCCCATAGGAGGGGCGCGCGATAGACAGGTCTCCCCCCTATTCAAGTTGGTCCTGGTCGAAGTACCCAAGGGCTGTAGATATCGCGCGGCCAGCACGCGCACCAAACCTGAGAACAACCGAAGCACGCGTTTGCACGTCGCGCGAGAGCTGAAACCAAGGTGGCTCACTTCGTTTTGGCTCTTTCCACCAAGACGCCTCGGTATTGCGTTCAGGCCTAGGCAATCTATTCGCGACTCCAGCGACCTATAGGCGGCGCCACCACCAAACAAAAATGGCGGCTGAGTCCAGGTCGAGTCGGCTCGGCCGGGCCGCCTGAACAGGTGGCGCGTTCAATTTAACAGGTTTTCTTTTGTTTAACGCCCAATTTTACCGGTATTTGAACTGAGACGGTTAAGTGTAGCCGGTGCACATACACTTGCAAAGCATAGTTTTGTTTTTTCCGGTGTTTTTTGTTCTTTTCATGTCAAACTTTCGTTTCGGAGATTTCGTTCAAAACCGAAACTATAGGTTCCGGAGAGACGGTAAGATACTAATCCGTTTTGATCATCTAAGAAAAGCGGCGATGACTACAGAATTGTTCCGCCGAGAGGAGTTTTCAGCTGACTCGCATGCCTCGACCATGCGACTCATCTGTCCGCGAAATCGAGCTTTTGTGCGTATCCGCGTTTAAGAAACAGCTCCAGTCGTCTGCTAGGCGAACAACACAGGCTGCAGGAAAATTATGAAAATTAAGCAAGCGCTTCTTGAGCCAAGGACCATGTTAACTCGCCGGCACCCCACTAAGCAGCTGATACGCGTATTCCAATTCAGGTTTTAGTAGCAATCGAGAAGTCATTTTGACGAGCGGGTTATGTATTATAATACGTACTATGGGGGTCCCACTAAAGCGATATTAGTATATTCGGGTTGAAATATGAGCTGAGTTGACTAGCTATTAGGTGAACTGCTGAATAAAAGTATATTTGACAGACAGAGAGATACTACTGAAACTTAGCCAAATGGTTCGAGCCGGCAGCACGGAGACAAACTGAAGAGTCTTCATCGGAGATTCACGCAGAACCTCTCTGCATTGAACTTTGCTTCGAATCCTGAACGGAGACAATGAGTATTTTTTTTCTGGCCGGTCAACCTGAGCAACGTAGACGTATATTGCTGCTGACTTCGACGGGGGTATAATATAAATATTGGGAGGCGCGATAGATCAAAATGCCGTGACAGCTTCTAACGTTGCGAGACTCGTCCCCCACCTTTTGAAAACAGATCATTCCCCTCATTCATCATATGCAGCGAGCAGGTTTTCCTGAATCAAGTAATTGCGAAATCAGCCCAAACTCCTTCAGTGTGGTCCAGAGTCTTTTTCGGCGAAAAGCAGCCAAGGTGAATAGCCAACGCACCGACGGGCGTGGGTGGCTCAAACTTGAAGCTAATCAAACACAACCAAACTCAAGAAAAGCAGCTATCGAACCTTCCCATTCACTTGACTGCAACATTGGTGTTCCCTCCAGTGAAATGCCTCGTCTTTCGTCCTCAGTTCACTGCTCTACATCCTTAAAGAGAAACCACTTATCAGTTATCAAGTGGTCGTCACTTTGAATGTGATTAGAGACAGACAAGTAATCAAAACCTTTTTCCGTGATTCCTTTTCATCCAAGAAATCGAAAGCACGCGACCGTGTGTTGTGGAGTAAACGGGCTTTCAAACACATGATGGAAGGAAACAATCTACTGAGGCTTCACCACACTAATGAATACTCAGGCAAACTTAAGAAATTTTCGGACCTTCGTGAAATTACACTGTTTGCCACCGCGCCGACAACACGCTTCCGCGAAAGCCATCGGAGACGCGGAGGGGCGCGGAGCGACCTGGTCCGGCTGCAGTTCCCGGTTTTCCCGCTTGGTGGCGTCCGTTTTGCTGGAGTCGCGAATACCAGTTAGCGGACATACCGCTGCGGCGCTGCTTTCAGAGGCATGTTGTCGTCACGACATTCCATTGAAGCTTCATAACCAACTACCAGGTGGTTTTTGATTATCGTTTAATTCACTTTAAAATATGTTTTCTTGCGTTTTCTAGCGCAATATTTATGTTTCTGTGGTTGTGCTGCTACCTGCGTTGTGTTGAAACAAAGAAATGAGCTCCAGAATTTGGTTTCCGTACCCCTTTAAAGTGTGCTCACTTGAAGTGCACTAAACTAGCCCGTCTGACAGGGGTATAAGTAACTCCACGGGCGAGCCCTACTGCCGCAAAGTAGCTCTGGTTCCTATAAGGAATATTCACTGGGCGCCATATTTGTCGGTGCTGTTTAGAGCGCATGCTCAGAACGAGCCCACACTAATAGGTTGCTAAGACCGGCAATCTTGAGGGTGCGGAATGCACGCTGCAAAAGAACTGTGGAAGCTCGCCATCAGCACGCGCTCAGCAGTCGCGCACACAGCTATGGCCCGCCAGTGAATACCTCCTATACTTCGTCTCGTCTTACCACGGACTACATTAGCAGTGCATGCTAAAAGCGCGAGCTAGTTGCTTTGGACGAAGCCTCGCCGGCTGCACGAGCGCTCGTGCAGCAAGTGCTCCAGTGAAGGGAGGCGAGACTGGCCGCTTGAGCTTGCACAGCCGTCGCAGTTAGTCCATGATAAGGTGAGACAAAGTATAGAGGCCAATGAAGTGGTGGCATTCCAACGGAGGTTTAAAAACTGCCAAAAGCCGTAATCTTGAAATCTATTGATTCGTTCTAAAAATATTTTCCTTGGCTTTTCTATCGACAGCCCAGAAACACTAGACTAGTCTAGTGTCTCTGTGCGGCCGGCACAACATAGACCACATCATAACGAAAAAGAAAATAAGTGCAAACATTTCGTTCCCGTACCCCTCTAACGCATCCAATCCGGACCAGACCGATCTCACTAGACAGTTTAGTCACCCCGCCGCAGCCAGTATGCATCGTGGGAGCTGTAGTATTTCGGCACGCGCAACAACCATGCTGCAAATCTGCGCGAGCAGAGCACGATGCTTCTGACCCACGTGCAAAATAGACAAGTCCCACGATCCACAGAGGGTGCGGTGGCATAACTATATACTTCGTCTGACCTTAGCATAGACTATCGTTAGTTGGGTATGCTAAAAGCCCAATCAAGTGGCCTTGGATGAAGCCTCGTCGACTGTACGAGTGCTCGTGCAGCGAGTGTTCCAGCAGTCAACGTCACTAGAAAAACTCAGTTGGGAAACTGCCATAGAGCCTGCTCTGAAAAAGTGGCACCAACCCCTGTTCCAGAACCGAGATAATGGCGATCGCAACACCGCCGTTCCTCCCGCAGCGGCCACTCGGGGAAATGAACGGCTGCTTGTATTGACTCGGGAGTCTCACATTCAATAGCCTCGGCGACTTACTAGCAAAGTTAAGACGCGCCTAGGTCGGGACGCGCTACCTGAAATCCGCGGCTCTAGAAAAAACAATATTAATTGTTTTTTCATGGCTCTAGAAAAAACAATATTAACTGTGGGGCAAAACCATGTAAACTTAACTTTTTAGAAAACATCACGCGCCCGTTATTTTGTACTAATCACCAATAAACGCTCAATCAAAAAGAGTTTTTTTTTAGTTTCTTTTTACGCTAAAACATGCTTTCTGAAAGCTCATGGTGACCACAGTAAAGACAAAAATTGAATCGCCATCTTCGCACCTCGCCGACTGACAGGCTTCATATCTGGGAGAAACCAAGAGCGTCCTCGAACGTCTACGCAGACACAAATATGATGTAAAAAAGGACGTGCAAGGAAACGCTTCAGCGGAACATGCAAGAAAGAACAACCATGTCATCAACTTCGACAGCAGTTCAGGACACTGAAAGAAACTTGAAAGAACGGCACTATTCACGGACTCCGAGGAGTCACTAAAGGAAGAAGACGATTTGAACGGCAGCGACAAGGAGAAGAGAAAGACGAACACCCAGCTAAATAAGTCACCCGTGAACAAGCGCCCGAGCAGGCCACGAAACGTCGGGTTATTTAAACAGTTGGTTAGAGTGCTTCCAGCTTCGTTTCTTAATACTCACCAAACTAGGGAGATTCTACCGAAATGTTTACTTTTCCTCTACCTCGAGCACAGTAGCGCAGTCAAGTGCGAAGAGGGTTATGATAAAAACTGAGTAATGATGTCACAGTAGCAGGGCACCCGCATCATTCCCATGCGTTACTGAAGGATGCCTAGAAACTCTAATGTTTAAAGGCAACTCATGTAATTTAAGACATAAAATTGAGGCATATTTTAGAAATAAATTTTGGGTTTCACCGTAACGTGTATGCCTATTCATAAAGAGAAGAAATAATGATCACAATGACTTGAGTAGCCAATTTTATTTTCCAAATATTCAGCTCCGGTTTAATTAGGGACAAACATTCCTAATACATTGTGTCAGAAGATCTAGCGGGTGTTGTGGAATGTTTAAAAGAATAGTGTTTCTAGCGTTCATCACTTCATTGACGACAGCCGCGCACCTGACTGATGGGAGCCAATTTTTCTGAGTAAATTGCTGTAATCGCTAGAATGAAACAACATTAAGCTTTCTTCAAATCAGGATTTACTTCTGCTATGTTGAAGAATGTGTTGGCACTTCGTTTGTTTTAACGGGAATTTTACGTCCAAAGGGAGAGTTATGCTTCACTCGATGCACTTCCTTCCTTCTTTTTTTTTTTCAGGAATGTCGCTTAATGTCTATTCAGATCTGGACGCTAGGAGCAACAGCAATATAAAAATGATGGAACCCCGTAAGTATTTACTTTAGGTGTGAATTTTTTTAATGGGTGACTGATATTTGTTTGGCTAGACTAAAAAAAGAAAGAGCCGTTCAGCTGTGTTTTCTCGACTCGTGCTATACTAAGATGAAAACGAAATATAACCCTGAAAAATATGTGGTTACGTTTGAAGCAAGAAAACATTGAAGGGTTTAAGTACCATTAAAAAAATATTTTTGCGGCATAAATTTTGATGTAAAAGAAACATAAAATATATAACGTGGAGAAAAATATATTGCGGAGGTTTCGTAGACCGCGTTTCCCCCTCCGCTAAGCCCTCCTCAACGAAGAAACCGCTGCTGTCCTTGCGCGCCGATGGCCTCGACTGTAGACTTCCGCGTATTTTAGCGATTTGCGGAGAGCGTTGCGGGACGGCGTAAACGAGATAAGAAAACTCTCTATAGCAGTAGAAACTACGGATGATCTAAAATATTCAGATTTATCGACGTCACTCTCCTCTTTAATAGCCTTATAACACAAGCGCACTTAACTGCAGTTATGCTAAGCCACAGTTAGCGCACAATACTTGCTGACAACATTCTGCGGCTATACAGTCAAAGCCACGGGCGCACGTGCGCTTGAATGAGCATCTTGAGCACCCATATCAAAGCAGTGCACGCGCACTCTCACTTCTTCTAAGATAGCTATCCGAAAGTATTAGCGCCGAGATGTTTCGGCGGCGCCCTCTTAAGGTGTGTCCACACGACGGACCGGGCCGCAGACCGATTGATCACTTGATGCGCGGCCCGTGGGCCGCCCTGCTGCGATGAGCATCCACACGGCGGACCAAAAGAGGAGACAACAGAGTGAACGGGCCGGTCTAACCCTCGACCTCACAGCTCCGCCGAACGCATGCAGCGAGCTGCTTTGAGGCTATTTGTAAGGAGTCAAGATGGAGGTTGAACAAAAGAGACGTTTGGCCGCGGTGGCCCTGGCGTTGACTATTGAGGACGAGGAGGACTTAAGTGAACCGAAAAGGGCATGCATCTATTGTCCCACAGAGCGCGGAATTGCTTCACGATCGTGATGAAATAAAAAGCTGCATCGTCGCACCATGCCGCCATTGTCGCACAACAAATGGTTCGTCTTCTTCGTCTGCAACAGTTGGCGCCAAAAGAAACCGACTTTGGATTTGGATTCCAATCCAAACAACAAAAGTCAGCTTGTTGCCAGACTTAGCGCTTCAATTATACTAAAAACGCCACGGTCCGCCGCCAAGGTCCGGGTGAGAAAAGTCGCTTGGCATTTCTCAGAAGCGCAGGCCGCGGACCGCCGGCGGACCTCGAAAACCGGTAACGAAAGATCACGTGATGCGCGGCCCGCGGACCAAAACAGCAATTTGGTCCGTCGTGTGGATACTCCTTTATTGTTTCCATCCGTGACGACACGACTGGGATTTGCCTCACCGTGACGTCATCAGTTGTTATCCTCGCTACTTACCATCACGTGCAACGACGAGTTCGGTGGTGTGTTTGAAAAGCACAATGGAAGCTAGGAGCCATCGCGATCCAAAACTACCACCGTCAAAGTTGACAATCTGACAATACTCATATGCCAATGGTTTGGCCAATCGTGGAAAGCTGACCGGAGCGACGCTTTTGGTCGCGCACATCGCTAATAGCGCGGTAACTGTGTTGAAACCATGGTGGTTGAAACGTAGCAGCAGTTAAAGCTGAGTTAACTGCGTTTGGGGGTGCCAGTGTAACACCGGCATAAGTGGACACTCAAAACTATTCAGTGTAGAGCGGAAGGGCAAGAAGAGTATGATGGAACATACTGAGTCGCCTGAGAGGCTTCCCCAACAAATTTATATTCTAATACCATGTGTCCTGTATCTCGCCTGGGCGCTTTGACACACTGACCGGGTTCGTAATTATCTGTTTTCCCGTTGAGCGAAATCTTAATTTATTTATTTTACAAGATATTCTGGACCCATTTGGATAAAAGCCATTGATTCGATTATGGCGTACCAAGCAACTGTGCCTACGCTCTAATATATATATGCCCGTCTACTTACCCGCAAAACACTCAAAAAGCCAATCTCTGCTATCTACGATATCTGCTCAGCGAATGAGGCGAAACATCTGTCTAGACCTAAAAATGAAGTTTGCGTTGTGGCATTGCCCAATGCAAAGCGTCATGCTTGCATTGCAATGTCACAGCGCAGACTTAATTTTTAGGTTTAAACCTGTGTTCTGCCTCATCATTTACTGGGCTGATTTCGTATATCGCAGAGGATGGATGTTGAAGTGTTTTGCGAGTAAGCAGACTCGCAGTCATTTTTAAGGGAGTAGCATTCCAGAATCACCAAATCTTCCGTTACCTTCTCTTTTCTTTTTTTTTTGTAGAGTTGAAGATTCAATCATTTTTATGTTATAAACTTAATATTGATTGAATACCGTAATATCAAAAATACTGGGCGAATATTTTGTAAAACTATCATTCATGAATAATGCATGCAACTATTTTGTAACCGAAAGTGTAAGCTAGACAAAATGATCGAAATACAAACCTGTGACAAGAAATGCTTCCGTGCCTAAATGTTAACAGAAACACAATCCACATATATATTAATAATTAAAATATGTTCACTCGCATTACCTCAAAATTGGGTTTCGTTCCGCGTAGTAGGAACCGATCGGGATTTAACCGATTGCTCTTTTTAGAGCGCAGCTCTTAGGGGCCCGTTTCCGGCTTGAGCGGCGTCGCCGTCGGCGTCGGCGTCGGCGTAACCGCGCGGTGCATCATGGGAAATGTCCCATAATGCACCGCGCGAGCCCCCCACCAAGGTCACGTGACCTCGTGGGGGGTCACGTGACCCCCCGAAGTCACGTGGCCCCCTCCTCGAGGTCACGTGACCCCCGCCGATGTCGCGTGACCCCCCGATGACGTCATCGTCACTGATGACGTCACCGGCATCCACATCGTCATCGTCATCATCACTGATGACGTCACCGGCATCCACATCGTCATCGTCATCATCACTGATGACGTCACCGGCATCCACATCGTCATCGTCATCACTGATGACGTCACCGGCATCCGCATCGTCATCATCACTGATGACGTCACCGGCATCCACATCGCCATCGTCATCATCACTGATGACGTCACCGGCATCCACATCGTCATCGTCATCATCACTGATGACGTCACCGGCATCCGCATCGTCATCGTCATCATCACTGATGACGTCACCGGCATCCACATCGTCATCGTCATCATCACTGATGACGTCACCGGCATCCACATCGTCATCGTCATCATCACTGATGACGTCACCGGCATCCACATCGTCATCGTCATCATCACTGATGACGTCACCGACATCCGCATTGTCATCGTCATCATCACTGATGACGTCATCAGTGACGTCACTGATGTCGTCACCGGCATCCGCGTCGTCATCGTCATCATCACTGATGACGTCATCAGCGACGTCACTGATGACGTCACCGACATTCGCATCGTCATCGTCATCATCACTGGTGAAGTCATCAGTGGGCGCGTTAAGTCCGCGCTCCGGAGCGCGAGAGTTTGGCGCTCCTTTCACTAAACAAACAGGAGTGCCACCGGAGACTGACACTCGAGCGCGCTCTTCGTGCACCGAGAATTTTTCGGAGCGCGAGTGACTTCTTCGCGCTCCGTGACGTCACGTAAACAAACAAGATGGCTGCGCTGCTCTTGCGGCCGGCGAGACGAAAAGGCGTAGGCGGACCGCTGCACCTTTTCAGTTGATTACTGCTTAATCCAGCAGGTAAAAACGATTTGATTTGAAAGCCGAAACAGCAATTAGCGTTCCGCAAAAAATTTGTTCGTTCATCTCGCCTGAAAAAGAAATTAATCTATCAAACGCTACCGTGCCGATAGCACTGCGACAGAAAGGTTGTCGAGATGATGAGATATTCGGACCGCTCTGTCCCTTTTATAATACTTAGCGCAGCGAATAAAAATACTTCGATTTGAAAGCCGAAACATCAGCGAGCGTCGATGAAAAGGTTTGTTCGTGCGTCTTGCCTGAAAACGAATTGATCTATCGAACGAGCGTGCCGATAGCTCGGCGACAGAAAAGTGATGAAAAGACAGGCGGCTGCCCTGCTTAGAATGCTTAGCCCGGCCGCAGCGAATAAAGATACTTAGATTGGAAAGCCGAAACATCAGTTAGCGTTGCGGGAGAGGCTTGTTCATGCATACCGCCTAAAAACCATGTGCTAACGAACGACGGTGTGCCGGTATCGGCGTAGCTTCCGTCTCGCTGCGAGACGGAACCGACGGAACCAGAAAATCTTTGACAAATTTGAGAGTTTTCCTGTGTCGCCCCGAGCGGGTTCAAGAATATTGTCTTTAATTTAAATCGGAACAGCATGCATGGTCGATAAATAGATCAACCAAGGTAACCTTCCACATATGTGCACGAAGCGAGTCTTCAAACCTTTCAGGAATATTAAAACGTTCGTAGAAACTTCATAACGTTGCCGTCTCTTTTGCTTTAGACTCTGCCGCTCCACCCGGGCCTAATTATTTATCTTCGAAATATTTTCGGCTTCTGCCACCTGTATCCACGGTTGGAAGGAGCTCGTGTGGGCCGTGGCCCGTTGATAGTTTCCGGCCGTGTTCCAAACTTACTCGATCTAACTAAAAGTAGTTATCGAAGACCTACCCGCGTCCAGCGTTTCTCTATTTTTGTTGTCACGTGACATAAAACGCCAGGGTAACCCGGATCCATTTGAGTAGGTTTTGAACGCAGCCTCGGCGGCCTCGGTGTGTCGCGCTCCTGTACGATATGCGCCGTTTAGTTGCTGCGCTCGGAGTATGAAACTCGGAGCGTCGGAGTAGGAGTAAAGGAGCGCCGACTTAACGCGCCCAGTGACGTCACTAATGACGTCATCGGTACCCGCATCGTCATCGTCACTGATGACGTCATCAGTGACGTCAGTGATGACATCATCGGCATTGGGGGTCACGTGACCCCCAAGGTAACGTGACCCCCCCCTGGTTAGTTTAACCCCCCCCCCCCCAGTGCCCTTCCCTCCTCCTCCTCAAGAGCTGCGCTCTAATTCGGCGTTACAGGGAGTTGTAAGCGGCTTTCATTTTTTTCAATCGCTTATAATGACGCCATGAAGTTCGAGATTTCGAGCATTGACTGTCCCCAGTATATAGTCACCAATACAAATACCTGATATAATACTAAGAAATCTTATAAACACGAAAACTGCAAGGATTGCATTGATTAAAATGCCAAGACAACGCATAAAGCTTGTATTAAATAAAACGTAAAGTTCCGAGTTTTAAACATTACGTTGGTACCTCGGTTTGATTTTATTATATTTTCTTCGCTCGTACACTACATTTTTCTTTAGCGAGGCACTATACACTAGCACTTTGAACATTAAAACGAACAAGTTACTATTTCAAAACGCAGAAATAATTAACTGCCATTTTCTAAACTGGAGTATTTTAGCTGCTATTTCGAGCTTGAAATAAATTTTAAAGAGTGAGATCGAGAAAATGAAACGGGTTACGGCCTGAATAAATAAACAAAGCATTGCAGAAAACTAAGCTTGCGAGGAAATGTAACCCTAGCGGTGGTAATAAAAGCCGAAAACTTGAACACCGGACATTATCGGGATGAAAAGATAGAAACGAAAAACAGAACTGTTCTATGTGGCTGTGCTCGCTTAAGTCTAATATTTATCAAAGTGAAATTTAGGAATGTGAGCTAGTTAGCAATTATGTCAGTGAAAAACACTTGTCAGCAAGAAGGAAAACAATACCGTCTTTTTAACTGACAAGTTTTCTTGTTTAACTGTCAAGTTTTTTTTCACCCGAAATAAATGCTACTGGCACCCACAATCTCATATATCGGTATGATGCAAATTGGGTTTAGGTGGACGTCGACTCATAAATAAATATTTTCTTTCTTTTTGTGTTTTTTGATCCGGCTAAGCCCGCGTGCTCGACATTTTACAGTTTATCACCACCACTAGCGTCCCTTTCTTATAGAGCTTCATCTCTCTGCAATGAGTGGTTTGTTTATGCGGGCCGAAACACCAGGTTTCATTTTGTCCATTTCACCCTGAATTATACTTTTAACCAAATACCTTTAAAAACTAAGAAGCAAACATGAAATAAAATGTAAAAAAACTGTCATAATCAGAGTCGAAATTGTTTTTGCCATCTAGATTTTGTTTTATTCCAAGTATTATCAATAGAAGGCATTTTTTTATGTTTAGCGTCGTTTAAAATACCAAAATGATTGCGATTCACAGTCACGTGGTTTTGTTTTGTTTTTTCTACTACATCCTCTTCTGCTTTCCAGGTAGATTATCTGTCAAAGGTTCAGCTTATCTTGAACTTTACTTTTTGTTTAGTAAAGAGCACAAACAACATGTCAAACATGAGAGTGGATATTTAAGAAAGTTTGTGAAAAAGGTAAGTAAATCTGAATTACGTGGGACAAAGGAAAGCAACAATATCCTTCTAATAATGCTGGGATATGGTCGCTAATATGTTAGTTCACTGGCTTGACTGCAGCTTTTAACTTTCTTTGTTTATATTTGGGGATTAAAATATTGTTATTTTTCCGAACAATGCCATGAAGAATTAAAGGGGCTGTACAACGACATTGGGTAGGAATATTTCTTACTTTACACCAGCTTCCTCGCACTAGTGGGACCCAAGAATACTAGAACGCAGCACCACAGACCAAGCAGCGTCTTCGTCACGGCGGAATTCAAAGGATGAAAGCGGAGCTTTTCTTTCAGTCTCTCCTTCGCGAAATTTGATGAAGGAGCTGTGGGGACAATGGCAACAGTACGATCCCCGGGAATGCGTCATCAAGCTTTGCGGTGACGATATTCAAATGCTGTTCCCACAGTGGACGCGAAGACTGCGTACGCACTCGATCTGGGCTCGTGAAAATCGATGCCTCGACATGCATACGGGTAGTGGCCCGTGTCCAATCGCTGCAACGACGACAATAGCCGAGCCATAACAATATCTGGAACTCAGCGCGTGTCCTGTGCTTTTCAACCCCAGCGCGTGGCTATGATCAACATTGGCGGTATATAATCGGCTACAGATCACGTGGCCGCTTGTTCTGGCTGAGAGTTGAGAGGGTGAACGGTGATCGTTTTTCTTGAATTTTTTCCTGGAACTTCTATTGCGTTTGGTGAAAAACGAACGCGTGTTTAATGGGTCATTAATGTCAGGGATCCGTTCTAAGCTGTATTTGCGCAAAGTACAAAAATTGTTGCATCGCCCCTTTAAAGATGAAAATAAATGCTTCTCAAATTTATTTGCCTAACTAACTCCGGTCACAGAAGTTTGTTCCTAAAAACTATTAAATAAAAAACAATTTACAAAGCGCACAGCATGAATTATCATTCTAGTATAGTTTCGAATATATCAAACTCACGACCTTATAACTCTATCTGTTACACTGCTATGAGTTTTCGCAAGGCTCGAAACGTCAGTAGACAACTGAGGGTATCTAGACATAAGGTAAAACTTTAGGAATTGACACGAGAATAATGACACAACTGTGACTTAAGTATTCCCGCACGCACAATGAGCCGCATGCGTGTTCGTCGCGGTGCAATATTGATGATAAATCGTATTGTTGTTCTTGGTCGCCCTTTCGAAAACCACAATTTTCACAATGAGCCCTACAGCATATTGAGACATTTACGAAACTAGTGTGAAAGTGCACCTGAGAGTAAAATGTTTCCGAATAGGGGGCCCCATTGCAAGGCGGCTTCTAAGCCATACCAGGGAACGAGTGCTGCGATACTCGCGCTAAGTTTTCAATACGTAGCATGACATACTTCCATTTCTCGCTTGCAGTTGTAATACGGCTATCAAGCGAAATAAATATAGGTAAAAATATTAAAACGTACTACGTTGACGCTTAACAAAACCTTTGTGTTGCTTGTGCCACAAATATCAGGCAAGGTGAAACTAAACTTACCCGTTTTTTACATATCACTAATAGCCTGCGTGTCTGACGTGAAGACAAAATTGAAACGGTTCAAACTGATATAACCGCTTTCTCGCGGTTCCACGTTTGCGAAAAACGTTTTTGCCTCTCTTTTGTAGCTCGCTCCTTGTTCAACTTTTGAGTGATTTCGCTCAACTTTGCCTCAATAGACCGATTTTACAAAGCGTTTCACACATGCGTAAAGCAGCCATAACCGTGTTCAAAGCAGAGCCACTAAGTAAGCTACGCTCCAGAGTAACGTAGAAGGGTATGCACTTGGGCTAGTTGGTGATCCAGAGTGACGACACTTATGCCAGTTTTGTGGTAAAAATCATGGTTGCCACTTATCTGAAGCGTTATCGGAAATCTCAGGAACCGTTTTTCTGTCCTCCAGATATGATAGGACAGTTCGGGACAGAGCAAAACGATATCACTTGAGCTTTCTACCAACGTGTCGAAAGCTGAGGAAGATGCATGTTTGAAGTGCGACGGTCCAGAGTGTGCCTACTTTGCTCTAAACCCCAAGATGTCGGCGCCCACTAGCAGATAAGGGAACGGAGTGCCGATACTCTAAGCATAGCTCATTAAACCGATCTCACTAAGCGTTCAGAGCATGCGTGACGCCGCCATGACTTCAGTTCACAGAAGCATAGCCTCCTCTATACTACCAAAACATTGCACTTCGACGACGGAGCCACAGAGTGCCCGGTCGCAGATTTGGAGCGCGATGATTTGGTAGCACAAAGCATTTCTCGGGGAACCTGGTCGTCAGCCCACTGCTTTTATAGCGGCGAGGACCCGAAACATGATTTACAAACCTGACAAGAAAAGAAGCGGTAGCGCGAGGAACCCGAGGAGTACGAGCGGACATTCCATCACTCGGAAGAAGTGTTTTTCGGCGTCTCGCCGCAGCGGGGCGCCCGTCACGTGGCTCTCCTCTCATCCGCTGTCTGCCGCTCTACCTGTTGAATTTCGGCGGCCGCTTCTAGTGGCGATCTTCCAGGCTTTGTCAGTAATGTCAACATGCGCGATCGAAAGCGTCGCTGTGGTCGTCCTTCAACAATTGGCCGAATGGTGACTATGCCGTCTCCAATTGGCCTTTTTCTTTCTTCACTTTTCCCTCAGGCAACCTCCCCCCCCCCCCCTCTTTGCAAATTTTACGACAAAAAAAAAATGCACCATCTGTGGGCAACGCTGCACAAAGTCGTAGCGCGATAGGTTAAGAAACCGAATTTTGCGGTCGATTTAAAGAGCCTGGCAACTCCTTGATACACCCAGTAGAATCAACATACACACAAAGAAAATACCATAGACACCTTGGGAGAAACAACTGATTTTCTTTTTCTTCCTCTTCTACTACGAATCCCACTTGAGGGAAATATTCTCTTTTCTTCTTTTTAGCTTCCTAATTCACCAAAAAGTTAACCCCCGAAGGAATTTTTTTCTTCCTCGTCCAGTACGGGAGAAGTTGCACTAACGCTGTCAAACAAAGTGAAAAGTCCAATTTGCCGTTAGTTATTCATACAGCAGGATGTTAGTCTGCCTGAACATGGCGACATTGTTATCCAATCTAGATAAGCAATTTAACTAGTGCAGTACGACTGCTAGCCTGGGGTTTTTAACGTGCAGCACGCAGTAGTGATACACGGCCGAGCAGTACACGCTATATCCAGACCCCGTGCTCGGGCGTGGCACACACGAGTATTCCAGTGGCCCTTCCATTCTGCTCGAGTTTTGATGGACGGGCCTTCGGCGATCAGCTCGTCCCAGAACTCGTCCCGCTCAGGCTTGGCCAGGGGACTGTCAGTGGCGGCCCTCACTAACACTTGGTGTTCTGTCAAAAAGTCGATCAGAAGGGTTATCTGGTGGACCGACACGAGAGGACTTCCACTTTTTTGTGTTGCCGGCTATGACCACCTGCCTGCGCAACGTAAAGGGCTGCAGCTAATGCTGATAGCTTTTGTGCAACTTAAGGAAACTAAATATTTCATGCGACAAATTTCGCAAAAAAATAGTTTAATTAAATTGGCTTGCGTTATACGGAAAGAGTATTGCTTTCTAGAACCCTTCACTGCCGAGTTTTGCGATTCTCCAAAATTCCCTGTAAAGAGGAAATAAACGATGTAGTTTCAATTCAATCGCCACAGTTCGGCGACGTCACCGGACACGTCACGGTGCAGTTCCCTTCCGATGCAGTTTGTTGGTGATGGAGATTAGGCTCCTCCCGCCGGCGGCGTCACGATGCAGTTTCTCTACCGCTTTCTCCAGCATAGACAGTCTGGATGAGCATCGTACCGGCGTGCGGTCGTGTAACATTACTGCGTGGCGCACGTAAAAGACTCCAGGCTAGCGGTTTGTACTCCGCTGGCTAAATTTCTCATCTACAGCTAAGACACAAGTTGCCCGTTGAGGCAGACCAAGGACTAAGCTGTAGAAACATAATACACCCCAATGTTTTTACAGTGAAGTTGTTAAGGGCTAGGTTCCCCCGGATCATGCCCGTGTATGTCGACACAAAGCTACCTGGACAGCCACCGCCATCTATAAGCAACGGGGGCAAGCACACAACCAGTATGGTTTCCGCCGTCGCTCGTAGATTGCGACAACCTTTCAAGCTATAATACAAGAATGGATAGTTGGGCGCGTTGGTGGGAATTCATCGTAGGAAACAGCGCGAAAAACAGACGACGACGAAGAAGAAGCACACAGTGTGTCGAGTACAGCTCCGCTAGAATGTAGTAGAAGGTAGCTCCGCATTAAGCGTGTAAAAAAGTGTCACGCTGATAAATAAATATGTAACTCGTGTATAAATGAAAAGCTCCAATGTTGATACAATATTAGTTAGACTAGTAGTCGTCGGTACAAGACTGTGCAACACCGCTCTTTCACCTCAATTAATAATGTCTTGGCGATATTCCAAGTCCACCAATACTTTTTCATTTACTTCTAAACTTGAAAATCTAAAAAAAAAGTGAGTCTATGCGTGCAGGGCTACCACATATAGAATATAAAATTATAATTGTTTACCCAGCCGTCTTTAATTAACCAAGGTAACTTATAAGGAGATCGAGGATAAACTTTCTTTAATTTCATTGAATATATTTTCCAGTAATATCAAGGTTCATTCTATGGTTCTTGGAAAATCAATTACATTATTATTCGGAGCCACATTTGTGGGCAGCTTTATGCGTAGTAAAATGACGAAATGCATTATTGCACCACGGCAGCACCAACCATCGCAGGACCTCAGATTTAATTACGGGTTTGCGTCTTCAAGATGGCCGGATAGATTAAAAAACAGTAAAAACAAAGATAATTTCATAACCTTGAGCCGGCGACTTTTTTTTTTTTAATGTTTTGCTTGTTTTGAAAATACATTTAAGACTAAAATACTTTGCTGCGTCTAATCACCTCTCGTCCCTTTTTCTTCCAGATGAACGATATATTTGAGTCTCAGAAAAATTTACTACGAGTAACGCTCACTTTTCTAAAGGCCAGCGTGTGGAATGTAAGTGTCCTCTGCGTGTGCATATCTTCTTAATTTATAGTATCTAATTTCTGCAGCCCGGCAAGCAAGCTTACACATCTGGAGGAAGGCTGAATGCTGAAGTGCTAAAAAAACTACTGAAAAAACAGGCGACCAGAGTAGAGACGAAGTGGCATAAAACGCACCCCCATCAACCCATCAGTGCCGTTATCTTTGTTACCACGTGAGTTTCCCGATTTCTTAAAATCTTTTCTTTTAAGGCCAGTTGATGAGCTGATAGTATGTATCATCTCAACGAAAATAGCCTATTGAAAATCTCTCTATAAGGTCCACCTGAATTTCTGAAATGGTTTTACGTACCCATAAAAAATGTTTGACGTATTTGAGATGTCTGTCAAAGTTTTCTAAGGGGCCTGACGTACCTTTTAGGAATTCCTAAAGTGTGAAAGAGACGCGCCATAGCTTTTTTAGACGCATGTGGGGTCTGTCGCAAAATTTTCCGTGAAACCACACCTTCCACAAAATCGTTCTTACTGGTCTGTAGTAGAGATCACGTGACCCCAAAAGATGTATGCGTCTGGGAATCCGCTTGGCCATTTTTGGATCGTGCGGCCGCTGGGGTTCGGGAAATGAGGGGACGTTTACCCATCTCTATCCTGTCGTGGCGTTCGCGGCTCCCTTGTTCTGTCTGCGTGTCCTATGTGTGTTTTTCACGGACTAGACTAGGTACGGTCAAGGACGCGTCCCCACGCACCCTTTTTCCTCGCTCACGAGGAAAAGAGGGTGCTAAAGGAAAACGGCAGGTTTTTTTTTTTCTGTTTCTTTGAGAGAAAAAAACGGTTTCAGTCAGTCAAAATACAGCCTTCGTCAGAAGCTTGTCACCCTGTTTTCTCTCCGTCAACGAGCGCAAACTAAATGGACAAAAACGAACGGTCGCTCAGTATCGGCTTCCCGCCCCATGTGTGGGACTTATCTTCTAGAGCAGCTGGGTGTGCTGATCAAGAAGGTATCTCAGTGCCCTGTTTTTTCCTCTTCTTTTTCCGCCTGGCTTTCGAGGCATCCAGCGAGCGAAAAAGACGCAGGAGGCGAAACCGTGACTGTGTTCAGTAATTCTCCAAGGCGGTGGATGTTGGTTACGCGTTCAGGGTTTTGCCTAACGTGCTACAGACAGTGCGTATGTGTCTGTGTGGCGCACATGCCCGATTTTATTAGTTAAACTACTGCGCACCCCAAACATTTTCCCAGCGGCATTGCGAGAACCTTGAAAGATATTTTAGCGACGAAGAACTTGGTTTTCTCTATTTGGTATGATCGCTTTCGTCTACAGCTGCTTGTGCCCGGATTTGAGCCAACGTTGGTTCTTATCTTATTTTTGAGTTACAAAATGCACGTAAAACTCAATGTCTGAAATAAATCTCCAATAACGTTAACTGAATATCTTTCTATGGTTCAAAGTCATTTGCACGTATAAAGAAAGGTCTGACGGGCTAAAGGGTTTGAAGGTATGACTGTCTGAAGGGGTTTGTAAGACTGAGGAGTTTGATGGGGTAAGGGTGTTTGAAGAGCGGAGAAGATTCCATAACTCATCAAGGCTGAAATGTTATTTTCAAATGGGGAGGCAACTTAATTTTTCCCCTTCATTTTGCATAAAAATTACGAAGCAGTACACAGATCGAATCCCCGCTTTGAACGTAGACGTAGGTGTTAATAATAATTTGATAACGTTTCAGCTTTTTTAGAAAATCTAGAGCCTATGTTCTAATGTGTCGAAGATAATTTAGATATTCCGCAATAATCTGTCTCAACATATTGCACCATGAATTGTATAGAGGTGCGTCTAGGTGGTGGGAGCTTGGAGTGAAACTATTGTTAGGATGTTAAAGGGTGACTTATTGAAGAATGAAGAAAATATGAAATATATAGCACTGGTGGTATAGACTTCTACAAACGTTACGCCCTCTTATAATCGATCTGAAAATACTGCGAATTGACTTGTGCAAAAGACACCTTAAAATGGCAAGTCTATCAATCGAGGAAACTCTTGGAAGTGGGTACTATATCAGTAATAGACTTGTCAGCTTGTTGGTGTTTTTTGCGCACCCCACTTTGCAGTATTTTCAGATCGACCTTAAAAGGTGTCAATTTTTAAGGAGTTTCTAGCATTCAAAACAAGTTCATGCACCGGCGCTTGGGGTTTCGCCTGCAAATCGTCTTAGGGATAGCATAAGAGACCCTGTGAATTTTTCTACCCACACATACACTCCGCTTGCCGTTACATACAATACATTGCAGTTCATATACAGCGTCATATACACAACACATACAAATATGAACATGAACGCACACTACCCCCTTCACTGACTCCGTACACTGCGCTTCCACGTTTTATACTCGTCGTTTTCAAGGTACGGTTTTTCTCGATGAAAATCTAAGCATTAAAAATGTTGCCAGTATGTCAATTTTTTTCGCAGTATTGTAATTTTACGGCACAAACATTGTACAACAGCACAAAGGTTGAAGCTCGTAGCAAAAAGTAGTTCAAACATGTGTCCTCAATAACCGGCGGGCAAGTTCGGGATCGGTTAAGCACAAAAATCAAGAAGAAAAGGCTAGAACGATGGTACGCAGGTTTTGTGGGGTCTGCCAGATGCCGGCCGTCGACTAAAACTACTGTAAACCCTTTATTTTTGCGGTCCCAAATTTTTCGCGAATCAGTCACAGAGTACATAGTCGCGGCCACTAAATTTCGCGACTTCCAGACGCCCTTATTCAAACTCTTAATCCGGCGGTCCCATGGCGGCCCTCTTGAACAAGCCATTAGTACAACCACTAGATGGCGGCACTTATTCGTGTGGCCAAGCAAAACCGCGCGTGTGCATGAAGGCACTCTAGTGTGGCCAGAAAACAGAGTCGTGGCAGTGATGTTCCTCCTCTGCTCTTAATTTCCTCCTTTCTGCTGCTGGCCCATGCACGTTCAGCGCTCAGCGCGTGCTCCCGCTGACACAAATTCCAAAAAAAAATTGGGCGGTGTGTGTGTTCATAAGCCTAGAACTTGGTCTGCCTCACAGGGGCGACGAGTCTCCCGGCTGTAGATGAGAAATTTAGCCAGTGCCGTACAGCCGCTAGCCTGGGGTCCTTAACGTGCATCACGCAGTAGTGATACACGACTGCACGCCGGTACGATGCTCATCCAGATCGAAACGGGCAGGGGTGGGGCTCGAACCCAGGATCCCTGGGTTCTGCAGCGCGAGCTTTCGCTCCACGTGCTCCGAGCTGGTGTGCGCTAGACCACTCGGCCACCGATCCCCAACAAATTCCAGCAAACGTGCAAGTGGTGCTACTAGTGCCCAGTTCGCACAGAAGCGGAGCCCAGCTAGCTTTTCGCGTGCCGTTAAATTTTCCGAATTTTCAATTTGCGTAATTGGGGAAATTAAGGGCTCGCGAACATTAAAGGTGTTACAGAACCTGGTCAGAAAACAAATTTACCTAGCACCACAGCGGTCGTTCTTTTTTTTTTTCCTCTTCTTTTTTGATTATAGTGCTAATATTGAAAACTGTAAATGTACGTGCGTGCTTCCTTTCTGTCATATTTCAAGCATGTTCAGCCCTACCCCGAGAGCCCAATCGCTCTCGGGGAGGGCACAACAGGGCATGGCAGACTGCAGTTACATTTCTCATTCTACTATAGGAGCTACATTTCGGACCAGCGTTCTAACATGACAATCCGCAGGTCAATCGATTGCATCAAGATCGCTCAAGCGGTCTTATTAAACTCATTAAGGTGCACTGAATGTCAACCAGCGACCCTACACATAATCTTGTCTCGCTGTTACACCACTGGTTCTCAAAGCACATGGAGACATCGACGACTATTTCAGGCTTCGTTCACAACACTAAACATTGCAATGACGATGTTGGTTGACTCACCGGAAATACAAAACCACTTTCAACGGGTGATGGCGCTCAGAACATTTGATAGGGCGAGGCTCGTGAAAAAGATTGAAAAATAAAAAAATTCTCAATCGGTACGGCCTCGAGGGCATAACAGATATTAATGCCAATTTGATATAAATTAATTGGATCCTAGTATCAAGTGTAAATTTTACCAAAAAGCCAATTGGGAACAAAAAGAAAAAAAGAAACCGGGACCGAGCCAAAGAAACACCCTGGAAAAAACCAACGGGGGAGAGCCCATCAGAGCCCGACCCCCGTCCGACCCCGCTACTGGGGCACAGTGGGTTGGTGGGCCCGCAAGGTGACGATGCACGAAGTGCTCCCGCCACAGTGATAAGTTTATATCTCTCGGCTCCCCTGGAGGGCGCCACCCTCCAAGGAGAGAGGGGGCGGGACCAAGACCCCTTCCCATCCTACCCAGGAAGACTCGAGAGGACGCTAACATTTATAGACCGCCTTTTTTACCGCAAAAATAAACTAGGCATCGCCGAACGCTCATTCTCCACTCAAAGGTAGAGCTAGAGGTTACAACCATATGCCAACGTTTCAGCCCGATCCGATAACTTAATCAAAAGTTATACGCGATTTTCTGAAAATTTCAATGGGAAAATGGCGGCCGACGAAGTTTTCAAACACACGGGGCTCTATGGCACCAGAAACCGAAAACGGGCAAAAATGGGCTCCATTTTCCCATTGAAATTTTCAGAAAATCCCTTATAACTTTTAATTAAGTTATCGGATCGGGCTGAAACGTTGGCATATGGTTGTGACCTCTAGCTCTACCTTTGAGTGGAGAATGAGCGTTCGGCGATGCCTAGTTTATTTTCGCGGTAAAAAATACCGTGTAAATTTTCTTTTGTGACACCCTGTATTAATGGAATGAGTTGCCCCAGCATGCATTGAAAGAAAACTTCAACGTTCACGGTAAGGGTGGTCAGGCGCTAAGGGGACGTATGTTTTACATTGTAGTCATCATTGACAAGGTAATGCGATACGTGCCTGGCCATTGCGAATAACGAAATAAGGTGTATATCAGCAATCAGATAACTTACTGTGTCAATTCGTCGTTTTGGAGATCCCGACCACGATGTGGGAAATATAAACAAATATTTCAATATTTCACTCGAGTAAACAGCCGACCGTTCTCCGTGCTTGTAAAAGCGATTGATGCTGGTTGAGGATCTCGGTTAGCTCCTTTATGAATGAATTGTTTTGTCACTATTATACGACAAACCCATTTTTATAGTAGGCAATGAATGTTACTGTAAAAATATAAGAAACTAGGCTTGATATATTTACATGCAGCAAGAAGATACCACCGGAAATGTGTGTTCATGCCGAAAACGTTTTACGACATGCAACAACAACGTTCTATCGCTCAGCTTGCCTGACATGACAAGCTAAGCCTAAAACTTCCTTATCAGATCCCCCGCGGACCACCTTTTGAGAGCCATGGGCGACAGCACGGGCCAAATAAGCGCTTGAAGTTACCGCTGTTATGAAAAACAAGCAAACGTACAAACAAACCCTTTTCCCTCTAGGTACCGCGTGCTTTCATTGGCTACATCGCGCGTGGATGTGGGGCTGTTGCCATGGGAATATTGAAGTGTTGCCATAGAAACATTCTACAAACCAGAACACCTCGGTTAGTCGCTAAACAGTCACAGTTCGGCTTTGGCCCCTGACAACACAATAACGTATGACCCTGCCGAAACTCGATCTTTTGGGGCGATTAATTACGACAACTTTACCCTCGGCGAGTTTTGAAACATGAACAAAAAAGATGACTGTGTTCTTGTTCTACTAGGCTTCTAGGTTATGTCACTTGAGTGACGTTGGCTGGAGTGGGTCCAGCCAACGTCACTCAAGTGACATAGCACGACCACGGCTGGCACGGTAGCACTCTTTTCGGCTACGGCAACGGTTGCTCAAGTGCATAGCGAGGTGAAGATAAAAATTGATTGTGTTATCTTTCGCAAGATTAGAAACTTGGCTCCTACTTTTAGCTGTGATGGAAGTGATGGTGTTTTTGTCGCTGGTTGATTTGCAACAGCAAGAACGGCGTTGACGACGTTAGTCACAGCCGGTCGTTGCGCAAGCCACAAAGGAGGTAGGATACATTAATGGGAGTGTGGTGTGGAGGCTTTACTACATCTTTGTTGCAAGAGTGTAGTCGGCTTCGACGATCACCGTCGACGGCACGGTGCTAATCAACGAGTAACTATGTTAGCGGCCCATAAACTTCGCGTTGTCTTCAAGTATACAACCGTTGTACAGCCAGCAGCGAACAAGAACAGGATCAAAGGAGGGTGTGGCTCCTGTGGTCCGATGACTTTTGTCGTCTCCGAGACCGTCAACAACCGCTCCCACAAAAAAAAAAAAACAGAGGCATGGCGGTAACCTCACGGTGGTTGAAAGGTCACACTCTGTTGGTGGTACGTAATACGGGCGTCTCAAGACACGAAGATTATTGTGTGTATGGCTTATTTGCCCACATAACGTCATGTCTCAAATGGTATTGCAAGTACTTATTGTGGAGAAAACATTGCTAAGCGACTCATTCTTGTTTTAGCCAAGGTGGGAGAGACCCTTTAGCAAAGTGCGTCTTCTGCTGAAAGCAGAGGAACCTTGCACGATGGAACACACAAAAGACATGCACCTATGTTGGAACCCTTGAAATCCTACAGCGTTTACTTCATCGTGCGCTTGTATAGTACGCCGAACGATGTTGGCTGTTCCACCATTGCACAGTAGGAATTCGGAGTTTCTATGAATCGGCACGTGAATATTGACAAGTGTCCAATTTATCATCACGTGCGCAGTGTACCAGTTATTTTTTTAACTTGTGTACCATAACAAAAGCTACGAGCGCGAGATCAAATCCTTGAAAGCTACTGATACGGTGCTGTACCTCGTGCAGCGAGAGTGGCAGCAAGAATCGTGGAATATCTCTGGACTTGTTCGTTATAAAGCCACGTCACGTTCAACACGTCAGTTCGCCACGTCAGACGCAATTTTCCTTTTCTATGAGCCTCGTTACTGATTTTTATCCGTCTTACTTCATCAATATCCAAATTGACGGTGCTAAAGCAGCCAAGCGCTTTCACATCGCCCGGACAGCAGGACCACTTGTGACTCAAGTTCGCCAGTGCCGTCCCGGCTCTGCTCACCGTCGGTTGAACGATGGCCAGGCTTTTGTCGGTAGCTACGACACCTTGGTAGCCACCCGTGGCGAAGAACCTAAGCGCGATTAGAACTTGCTGCTGAACGGTCATCGTCACCTCCGTCTGTCGTTGGCGCTGTATTCCCTTTTCATCGCAAAGTTGATCACAGAGCCATGTCACTGTGCTCTTAAACAGCTGGTATTGACGCCGAAATGTCTCTTCAGGCATAGCGAAAGCATTGGCGTGTTTTCTAAATATCCGTTGTTGTGCGCCTTGGTCCAGCCAACGTTGTACAACGAGAAAGGCGGACCATCTTATTTGGTTCACCTATCAAATTTTAGCGCCGCAGATAATACAGTTCAATGCCGGTCATAAGTCATTTTGATGTCATCAGCCGAAGGCGAATCTGATTGCTTGCGACGGGCGGAGGTGTTTCAGTGTCTAGAATGTTTCCATTGAGAAAGCGTATGTTCTCCACGCGCGCTGTGGCCAGTAGGAGTGCGCAATTTGTTGGGGAGTGGGGGGGCGGGGGGGGGGGGGGGGGGGAGTTTTCGAGAAACACGAACGTGACCGTTTGTGACCAGGTATCTAGAGCATTATCAGGAATCACGGGAAACAGGTTTTTTCTCTCTGTAATTGTGAAAGTAGCCCCCGCCAAAGCCGAACGCTGTCGTTCGAGCTGCCCGACGCCGTATCTCTAGGTTAGAAAGTTGAATTTTCGAGTTGTAATGATCGCCAGTTGAGCCCGCTTTGCACTAAGCACCAAGGTGGCGGCGCCCGGGGGAAATTAGGGAATGAAGTGCCGATACTCTAAGTTTAGATTATTTAGTGGCTCTAAAATACCCAAAACAGATACTTTTTTTAAGATAAGTTCATTTGTTGATATTTTTACTCCAAACTTTCATCACCTAGCCGCACGTCTGTATAGTCTGTTTCACTTTGTGTTGTAACGCAGGAAACGCTACAAGCGCGAAGTTCTTGCTCTAGAGCACATCTCGGCGGCACAAGCTCTCATGCACCAAGGGCAACGGCCAACCCTATAAGCTCGTGCTTCTAGCCTTCGTTGCGGTACAGCATAAGGTGAAACAAAGTATAGTAAATGGCAGCACGATGCGTGGTCGAGAAACTGACTTTTTGCGGCCCGTCCAATATTTGTTCGTTGCATTAGTGTACACGTTGCATATAAAGCAATAAAGCAATTTCCGAAAATATTGAAATATAATTTTTAGTGAATGCGTGGGCTTCTCGGCGTACTATGCGTTTAATAAAATAAATTACCAACTCCCACGCCTAAAAAAATGAAATTTTTTAGGAATAAATTAAACGTTAAAGAAATAGTTTCTACTTATATCCCATTCTCCTCGTGAAGACTCAAGCTTTGGGACTTAGATGAAGAGACGGATTGATAAAATGTCTTTAGTAGCTGATTATAGGAGAAAAGGAACGGCATCCATGTTTTATCTCGAACTAAGCATCAACGCTTTTGCTCTTTACGAATATCAACTGCTGCGTTTGTCCCAAGCGACTTGGGGTCGCTCCGTCTTCGCAAGACTGCGGAGCTGGCTTATGTCAACAGTGATAGAAAGCATAAATGCTACACGAACAACGAAGTAGGAAATTTAACGAGGGCCTTCCTCTGTACAATTTAAAGTCGTGGAAAAGGCAAGTTGGTTTAAAAGAATATTAGAAAATTTTTAACAGATCTCACGCTTCTTTGTTTCTTTTTGTGTGTGTTTTTGTTTTTCTTTTCTTTTTGCGTTCACTGGAGAAGTGGTGTTTAATCGTTTCGTCGACATTTGAAGCAGCGGTGTTGGGTGGGCTTTGTTCATTATCTGCATGAACCGGAAGTTCACTGCGTCGTCAAAGACTGGAGCACCGACAGACCTTTCCAAAAATGGACTCCTGGCCGGTTCCGTTTTCGGTGTTCGTGCGTATGGCGAGTGATTGCGCATGTTGGGCTGAGGAGATCGCAGGCTGGGTAGAGGACTTGTAAACATTGGAATGGTGTACATATTTAATACAAAGCGAATTGTCTCAATAAAGCTTACTTGGCTGCGTTTGCGAAATATTATTTGTACCTTTTTTCTTCCTTCTTGCATTCTATAATATTTAAATACAACGAATAGCTAGAATAGAGGATACAAAACTCTTCGTTAGTGTAAATATTTTCAACCCTCTTTATCATCATTGGCCGTAAACGTTTCGTGACAATGTTTATTTTGTGGGTATATATATATATATATATATATATATATATATATATATATATATAATAAATAATTAATTTTGCCTCCTTTTGCACGTACGTGTAGACTTCAAAGTAACAGAAGCCAGATACAGAAAAAGTTCATATGAATTAAACTAATATTTGAATTTTTTTCGCAGGGAGGAAATTATGAACAAAACTACAAATCGTCCAATCGGTAAGCAAAAAAGTGTGAAACGGGTTTCGCTAGCGCCTGTGTTCAAAATGAATTTTATACATAAATCAAAGAAACCGACACACACACGGTTAGAGAAACTCACGCGCACTGCTAGGTGGTTTAAAAAAAGGGGGGGAGGGGGTACGACAACTAAGTTAACTTTATTCTATTGTTTGTTCCTTGGAGTATAGCACCAAGCACATGGCATAGAACAATTCCCCTCTTGATTTTTAATGGCGAAATTTGCGTTCGTCAAATCGTTACCGGTTTAACCACGTAAGGGCTTCGTTGCTTCACCCGCTCCTTCATCGGTTTGCAAACAACGTGTGAGTGTAATGATTTGAGAAAGGATGTAGGGAGTAGACTAAAAGCTAATTCGTATGCGAAAATAGATAATTGTGGCATGAGCAAAGGGTTGATGGTTTACGGGCGGAGGTAATTGTCCGAGAGGTAATTGTTCGATCATTGGCGCTTATGGTTTAAGACATATTTGGGGCACAGTCATGGGCAATGTAAACTGAAATGATCGGGCAATATACAAAAGATAACGGTGGCACCGCTCCGACACGATAAGTCGAACTAGCGACGATTTTATTTCGTTCAAAGTGCAAAATGATTTAGGGAATGGGACCACTTGGATTCCCGTGCCTCTCGGTAATTACATATGTACTTTGAGCTGCTTACACACTGCTACTATTCAAACGTTTAATGAACACTAAGATCATTGAATTATTTTTATCTTCCCATGTAATACATCATTCAGATGTCCTTGAGAGGAATTAAACTTAAACTTGAACTTGAGATTTAGCATGTGAACGAGAGCGCAGGAGTATATTACTTGATTCAGCCTGATCGTGCTTCAAAACTGTGCGTCACTGCTGCGCACGTGCTACTAGAGGGGTCGTTTTTAAAGCTGAGCAGCAACAAAGTGTTGGGAACGCCGTCCGTTTATAGTGTGATGACTTACAAAAAAAGATAGTTTTATTTTCTTAAGATAATTTGCAATTGCATGCCGTCAAACTTAAAAAAAAAAATTGCCAATGAGGGTTCAGTTTGTTTGAGGAATGCAACCGAATAGCAGACCATATAAGAATATGCAACAAAAAAGTGTGGTTAATATTGCTCGCATTAAAATATGGCTCGAACAGCCATCACTTGTAAATATCTTGTAAATATAGTATAAATATCTTGGAAATATTATCAAATTGGTGTGCGCTGACGCGGCACACCGAAGCCAATAAAGATTATTATAATTATTATTAACATTATTATTGTTATTATTATTCACACAGTCCCTAGATGCTTCACACAAGTGCGCCTCTCCTCAGATATGTTGGACGAAATGTATTTTCCCTGTAATTTTACGTCGCATACCTCTATGTCTTCAAATATATAGACAAAGATGCTACAAGGAACTAAACCGTTATAAAAATATTTATACTTAGACTAGTAGAGTCTTCAAGAGTAAAAAAAGAACATTTTCGACGACGCAGCTTTTGGAGGCTGTGCGGGACTCGTGTTAAAGGCCTCACGCCCTTTGCTTGGGTGAGAAAAAAAATGATCATTTATTCAATCGTCAGTTAAAATAGAATGCCTCTGAAAAACGAGTGCTCCAACGGATAAGCTGCCTGGGCGGCTTCATATTTCCTTTTGTGGGAAACTGTATATTCGATGCTCGAAAGGTTCCTTATAGTCACCGATTTTCAGGTACTTACGTGTTTCACAACAATGTCTTCGCACTTCAAATGTATCGCATCGCCTATTATGTTTGCTGCACCACTTTCACACAGTTTGCTACTTCTGAGTCTACAGAAATTAACAAATCATCTGACTGTTCACCTTTTGTGGTTAATTTAAAGTTCGTTTATGACACACCTCATATTTTGGATGCTTATTTCATCTCTCTCGGGCATATGAGTATCTGACTTGTAAACAAAATTGTTGCAGGCATCAGTGGAAGAATCGGAGGAATTTGTCTGGCGGAAGAGAAAGTAGCTGCAGCGACAGATGACGGCAACTACAGCGGAGTCAGGGAAGTTGCTCGTCAGCTATCGTTTCTGTAAGTTCATATATTACGCACAGGAGCTATAGCGTTCAAAGGAATATATATATATATATATATATATATATATATATATATATATACAAACCTAATAGAACAAATTGCTCAGTGCACACGTAGGCTTTGAAGTTGATATTATAACACCGAAAATGCCGTTAAATCTAGGGTGAAAGTTTCTTGCTACATTCAGTGTGCGAATAACCTGGTTTTTGTTACGTACAAACACGGTTTACAATATACTCTATGTTAAAAATTTGGTTCACCTGCTTTCCAGTTTTAGAGTTCATAAAAAATATCGTGAGCATAATGACCCGCAACCTTTTCATGCCTTTCTGTTGCCTTCAAACGGTGGACCATAGAGGCATACGTTCGTGATACCGAGGGTCCAGATTGCCGGTAATGCTTTGATATAAACACAAAAGAGCAAAATATAAGGTGAAAGGCCGGAACTTAGAAGTTATTACTTTTATTTTGCAAAAGAACACACACGTTGTGAGCTGCACAAAGAAAAACTAAAGCTGAACAACACTGAAAAAACACCCACGTGCCGGAAAATACGTATTATACACGTATTTTCCGGCTGTAGTCCGCATACCGTGCATACTTCGCAAAAACAAATCTTGGGGTCAAAAATAAGACATTTTTGCTTAGAGAGTCCGCACCCGGCGCATGGTTAGCACACCGTGCATAGTGCGCCCTTCGTACCTAGTCCGAAAGTAAAAATGATCATACACGGCACACGTTGATAAATGTCTGCTGTACTAGCTCACAAAGAAGCCTGTATTATTCATAAATCCACATTAATATACTCCGTTATCCTTAAAAGTCTTCACTTCCTGTCACAGTAAACGATTTAGAAAGAAAAAAGAAAAAAAAGTCTTTGTATACACGTTTGCAAGTACGGTCTCAGGGCGCTGCCATCTACCTCAGTGGGGTGCGCTTCGGCGCGGACGTAATCCAATTACGACGCCTTAGCAAGGACTCGTAATCAGGTTATGACTCGTCCGAGAGCACCCCAGCTGAGCAAGATGGCAGCGCCCTGAAGCCGGACTTGCAAACGTGTATAGTGAGGACGTGTAGATAGTCTGCATCTGGTAAACTTTAAGATTTTAAAATGTATAGGCACCCTGCAGATCTAACTCAGTGCCGATACTCACGCCTCTCGCGGCAGCGGCGCGCGTGATTATCGCGAAGTGGCCACGGCAGTCGCAGCTCGACTGCAGTGGTACACGGGTGGGTATTGCAACCTGGTTCGAATTAAGTTACGGGCTAAGGAAGCTGCCGCCCAGGGGCCTCGGCACTCGGGGGGCCTCAAACACCAAGTCGTGAAAAAAGAATAAAAAAGACTGTCCAAAAAATTTAAACATAAATATTTTCCATTATATTCAAAGGGCCCGTGAAACGAATTTTTGTCTGCGATAAGTGAATTTAGATTGGCATTTTACTAATAGCATATAATTAAGTGGGCCAAATGTCAAAAGCCTGATTTTCCGTACAAAAATCCGAAAACACAGCGGACTATTTTGTGCCTCCTTCCCTTCGTAAGCTCTCTGCCTTTTCACTGTGATACATCCACGGTACCCAAAGCGCGTCGCCGGGCCCAAACGCACGTCACACGACACCGGACCTCGCCTATTCTCTTTACCCCTAAGCTGCCCGTGCGGTGGAAGCTATGCGCTTGCCGGACCAATCATCCGCCTCTCTTTCATCCCCTGACCTCATTCTCTACGCGTGGGTATGCGCGAAAGAGCGTGATCACGTGGCAAAAGTGTGGCTGTCCCAACGAGCAGGTAGCTTGCACACCAGTATCACCTTAGGGGTGAGCGAAGTGGGGAAAGCAATTTTTGTCAGAATTTTGAGAGACGGGCGACTCTTCTATACTTCGTCTCATCCTACGATGAACTAAAGGCCAAGACCACGGGCCGCCAGGTCCAATCACGTTCCACGCTAACTATGACGCGCTTAACATTGATTGTGGGTGGACGAATAATGCTCGAATCCAAAAGCGCCGCATTATTCCTATAGACGCTTTACACACGCGCCAGAGTACAGACGCCATTGTTGACCTTCTATTGTCTTACCGAGATATCGAACCACTGAAGCGGGCTTTGGCGAGCCTCCACAAAGGCAAATGCTGGTGAAAAAGACACCGTCGTATCTAAAATGCCAGTAACCTGTCCTCCTGTGGTAATGATGGAGCAGAGTGAAAACTATAAGCGAAAACAAAAACTGAAGGGCGGTTATGGCGGCGCCCATGCACAGCTGCTGTAAAGCGTCTATAGCTTTGACGCTGTAAAGAGGCTATATGTCGTGGCTTCCATTGGGATGTGAAATTGTTGGGTCACTCAGTGCTCTTCTATTCGAACCACTGCCCACCCTTTCCCACATGAGTGATCCGAGACGCGGGCACCGATACCGGTTGTTGAAGCAAAATACCGCACAATTTTTTTAGTGACTCATGATTGGATCTGGCAGTCCGTAGCTTTTGCCTTTAGTCTATCGTAGGGTGAGACAAAGTATAAGGGGAGAATGGCTGTGCCCGGGTACACAAACGAAGGGTCCAAGCAAAAGAACCCCCCCCCCTTTTTTTCTTTTTTTTTTTTTGTCTTCTTGAACTTTTCGGTAGAATCCGCGATTTGTGAGTTGAGGAAAAAGCTAAACAGAAAAAAGTTGAAAAATTGTTTCGTGACACCTTAAAAGGGCCTCTGATACGCCAAAAAATTTTTTTTGTGTGTGCTATGCGTTAAAACTGTGTATCAGGACCAAAAAATTGTTTTACTTTGAAGTTGCGTAGTTGTTTTATAAAAAAAAAATAGAAATACGAAGACCAATTCAAAGTGCCCGCGAGGGCATGGCCTCCAAGATCCCGAAGCGCGCGAACTCTTCTTTGGCCGTCCCATTCGTGCGGAGAGGGCGTACGCGCAAAACACATGTCCGATCCGACGTCCGATCCGACGTCCGATCAGGCAATACGACGGTCGGAGGCGAGGGTGTTCAACGCTCTTCGTTGCTACGAAAACCCTCGCCCCCGAGGGTCATTCCGGCAGTCCGCACGTTGGATCGGAAGGTTTCGTCGTACATGTGTTTCGCGCTGTAATGAGAAAAAGAGGAGGAGGCGGCGTTTCTCCTCGGGGAGGCGCTCTCAACCCAGGAATCATATTTATCATTTCAGTAGTTTCAGCGAGGGAAAAGAGCCTAAGAAAAAGTATTGTTATGTAGAGTAACTGCAACTTTACTTACAGATTTTTGTGTCTGGTGGTAGAACGATGAACAGCAGCTATGGGGATGTGGATAGGCAAGTTGTGATGCTTATTTAGTTTGAGATAATCATCTGGTCATGTTGCGGCTAGCGCTGCAAGCGTCCCTTTTGATATGTCTGACTGCAACCTGTAGCACGTATCAAACTCCCGAAAACAATTAACACCGTACACAAAAAATTCAGATTTCCCTAAAAAAAAAATCAATGTGCAATTTTTTTTGTTTCGCACGTTGTTTGGCGTAGGTTTTAATGCCTGAGCACGAAGTGTTGTCCATCTTTTAATGCTTTTGATATTTATTACGCAACTTTTTGCAAGTCGTATTGCGGTGTTTGCTTCTGCTAGAAGTACCTTTAAGACGGGGTCACACTGCTCATACATTATGGAAAAAGCAGTCTGCAGATATCAGTCACCACAACATCCGTGCTTCAAATGCCGTGTGCCAAGTGTCTCCTTCAACTCGTTTCGGTGCGGCATTCGAAGCTCAGATCTCGTGGTGACTCGCGTCTGAATCTGTTTGCAGACTGTCTTTAGTATGGTGGGTATAAGCAGGGTGACCCCGGCTTAAAGGTACTTCTAGCAGAAGCAAACGCCGCAATATGACCCGGCGCACTCTTTCTCTTCTTCTGAGTAACGTTACCCCGCCCCCCTTTTTTTTTTTTTTTTCGCGGATTGAACTTTTTTTTTTTTTTGGTAACGATGGTGGCGTTGTTTTATGCGGTGGGTCGGGGGTATAGGGCTTCATGCGGGCGACGTGGACTACATCGGAGGTTTCTCAGCGTCGGTCAGTAGTGTCTTGCTGTTTCTGCACGTGGTATGAAGGGTCGGACAGTTTGCGGACGGCTACGTAAGGGACGATGTAGCGGTGGAGAAACTTGGTAGCCAAGCTCTGGTGGCGTTGAGGCGTCCAGAGTAAAACAAGGTTGCCTATTTCATATGAAACGGGGTGCTGAGTCTTGTTATACCGTCGGCATTGGCGTTGCTGTGATGTACGTGTGCGTACCCGGGCAAGTTGGGGCGCTTCTTCAGCACTGCACACGACATGTGCTACAGTGTCGGGAGGTTCGTCATTTTGACGGTAAGGTAGGAGCGTGTCCAAGAATGTGGTTGGAGGGCGATTATGGAGAAGATAAATGGAAAATAACCGCGAGTGTCTTAAAGGGCAGTGTTTTATGCGTAAGTAAGAACGGAAGAACAGCATCCCATTTTCGTTGGTCAGATTGGACATACATGGAAATCATATCGGCAATGGTGCGATTGAAACGTTCCGCCAAGCTATTTGTTTCTGAATGATATGCTGTTGTAGATCTATGAATGGTTCCACAAAGATGTAATAGCTTTTGTATCACGGAAAGAAATACTGTTACTCGATCTCTGAGTATGTGACGAGGGGCCCGTGTCGCAAAATGATGTGGTTCAAGAGAAATCTTGCGACTTCCTCTGAATTTGCCGAGTGTAATGCAGAGGTCTCTGCTTAACGTGACAAATTGCCCATGGCAACAATGACCCAGCTGTTACCGTTGTGTGTAAGAGGAAGGGACCCCACCAGGTAGACACCGATGAGTTCAGATGGGCAGTGAGATGGATCGAGAGGATGTAGAAGTCCAGCTGGTATGGCCGTTGGTCTTTTTCGTCGCGGACATTGGACGCATGATGCTACGTACTTCGAAACGTCGCGGTACATGCTTGCCGTGCCAGTAGAAGGTATTTCGCGCAGGCATTTCAGTTTTAATAAAACCC